CACAGAGAAAGGCAGGCTCCTTGTTGGTCAGGGGGAGCTTTACTGGAGCTTCTTCCAGGTGAGAGAATTGTCTGTTCCTTTTCATTTTTTCAGAAGCCAAGCTTAATGCTAATTGTCAGTGATAACAAGGATAACTTTTTGGTTTTCAAGAGTCCTACATTAATTTGAGAGACTTTCTTTTCTTTCTTTTTATTTTTGAGAGGTTTTTGTCTTAGGGTGCATATGCTTGTCAGAGAAAGAGAGGGAGACAGAGATAGTGAGAGGGAAAGTGAGGCATCATCCCCTGGGGGGATGGCCACGCCACAATCCCTTCTCTCCTAGTCTCCTCTTGGGATCTTGGGCATGCACGCATACGTACCCACTGTGATTTTGAAGCCACCAGGTTCTGGACTCAAACCACAATCAACCATGTGGGAGTCCAGTGACTTAACTGCTACTCCATTGCTGGCCCCACTTTGGGAGATGGTCTGAAGATCACCTCTTGGTTGGCAATCTAGTCAGTCTGAGTGGGGCTCTGAAGGGATGGGGCACACATTCTGTGGCCTCAGTTACTTGTGTGTAACCACAGGCCCCAAATAAGTGAGTACAGTCCATGAGGTATTTTGAGAGCCCACATTCATACAACATTTGTTACAGTTATTATGATTGCTCTGTTTATTATTGTTGTTCATTATTACGTCTAATTTATAAATTAAACTTTATCATCAGTGTGTGTAGAGAGGAAAACCAGTACACATGGGATTCAGCAGCATCTGCGGTTCACACATCCACTGGGGTCTTGGCATGTATCTTCCTCTACGGGGACACAACTATATAAGGAAAACCCTGGGTGTGTGGGGGGAGGGAGGAATGCGGGGATAAAGAATGGGACTCAGAAAGGGAATCCTGGAAAACAGCTCCAGTTCTGTAAGCAGCTACAGTATCAGGGCAAGGCGAATGGCATTCCCGACTTCAGGCTTTCACCTGCCCCTAGGATTACAGCAGGGAGTGAAAGAGACCCTTTGGGCATGATGTGGCCCCTCACAATCACCCAGCATTACTGGTTTGTTTTTTCCTACTGATTTCCTGAAATAGGCCTAGGAAGGACCTGTCCTTGGGCATGAAAGTAGGTGGGCATGTATTTTCTAGACTGGGTTTGCACGGTTTGACAAGCGAAAGGCCTAGATCTTCATGGGATGCTTGCCAGCTCTGTGACCAATCTCTGCTCCTGTGTGGCTCCCGGCAGGTTCCCCACGCTCCTGGGGGTGGGAAGAGAGAGTGGGCACCAGGCACCAGCCTGTGCCCCAGAACATCCCACGTGCCTCAGCCCAGCATAGCGCAGTGGCTCCGTTCCCCCAGGGCCTGGTGCTAAACACAATTACATGCAGCATTGACAGCAGAGCTGGTAATTCATGTGCCGCCAGAGTGGAGGAGGAGGAGGGGAATCGCAGGGAATATCGATGTGCCCTGAGAAGGCACTGCGTTTCTCGTCTCTCAGAAGTCAGGGGCTGGTTATGGAAGGGAGGGTGTTAACTGTCACTTGGTGAATAGGCTTAAAACCTGTCCACCAGCATGACGTGAATGCAGCACGCATCGTGCCCGGGACAGCTGGGGTTGGGTGGAGGTGTGGTGGTGGGGAGTGAGCAGAAGTCAGTATCAGACTGTGGACTCACAAATGTTTGATGAAACCACTGACTTACTTCTAAGATCTTGAGAACGTTCTTAAACATCTCTGAATCTCAACTTTGTTATCAGTAAGCATGAGAGAACAATGCGACCTCCCTGGGTCAAACAAGATAAATGATGTGAGGCACCTGGGTCAATACCTGTCCCAGTGACAGGGGTCAAGGCCATTTTCTTCCTTCCTTATAACTTTTTTTTAATGTATAATTTGCATTTCCCCCTCCCCCCCAGAGGACAGTTCTTTAGTCCTTAAAGACTCAGCTCCTAACATGGGCTTTGGTGGAGGGCAAGGGGCAGTCCCCGCAGGTCTAGATCCAGATGAGGGTGTTCAGTCCTTCCGAGCTTTACGAGGTCGGTTCCTGACCCCTCGCTATGAATGGTGCACCTCACACAGGAACGCAGCTGCACACACAGCTTGGGGGGCACACGGGCATTGAGGACACTTGCTTCAGAGATGTCCCTGACGGCGGCGGCCTCTGCTATGTTTCCAAGCAGCTGCACACACAGCTTGGGGAGCTCACGGGCATCGAGGACACTTGCTTCAGAGATGTCCCTGATGGCGGCGGCCTCTGCTATGTTTCCGATGACGAACTTCTTCATAGCCTGTCCTTGGGCAGGCACCAGCGAATAGGCTGCACGTGACTGTGGCCCTTAGGCATGGCTGTTGTTCCTTCTTTGCTTCATCATCTTGGAAGCGAGGCTGTGAGAGTCTGTCTTATAACTTAAGGACCACACTTCATTCTTCTCAGCCTTTGCAAGAATTTCTCCTCCTAAAGTTCCAGAGGTGACCTTCCACGGCTAGTGTTAAAGAAGGACTGTGGTGCTGTTTAAATTCACT